AAGAAGAAGAAGAAGTTAAAAAAACACTTAAAGTCTTAAAAACAATAGTATATGATCTAACTTCTAAGTATCGACAACATTTTTCAATTTTTCACAAGTTTTCAGATAGAAAGAAAAAAGGAAAGCAATGGATGGTACACCAATCAGACCCCAGGGAGCTGCTTTAAATTTAAAAAAAAAAAAAAAAAAAAAAAAAAAAAAAAAAAAAAAAAAAAAAAAAAAAAAAAAAAAAAAAAAAAGGACCTTGTATGCCCCTTAAGGCTTAAAGCCTTAAACACAATAGTAGTATGTTATCAACAACATTTTCACAATTTTTCAGATGAGAAGAAAAAAAAGGAAAGACATGGATGGTCCACCAATCAGAACCCAGGGAGACGCTTTCAAAACAAGGACCTGCTGTGCCCCTGCTTCATGTTCATTGAGGTCTGCAAGTCACAAACCAGTCTAGGTACGATGAACATCGGTCATTGCAATACCAGATAGAGGAGCTTAGCAGGAAGGAAAGGACTTAACACAAGACTATGGTCGGTGCTCGGCTGGACACCATTCTACATGTATGAGGACGTGGTGATGGTCCCGGTGCATTCAAAATGTTCGATTGGTCAGAAATTCAGAATGCATGTAGTCCAGATAGCCAGCCGTGCAGATACCCGTCGAATGTGGCGTAGTGGAGCGGAGCCTTATGTTCTGTGCGCAAACTACCTCCGAGTCCTCGATGACCATCATCATCCTATCCTAATACCAAGAAAGTACTTCATCCTCAAAAAGGGCCTGCGGAGGCGATGAGGGGAAGGAAGGCCCCACACACGCCCGCCCTACTCAAAAACCGAAAAGAAAGGAGGACTCGTCATGAGTTGCTGAAGGGACATCGTGGAATCATATGTTGTTGGACCTTAAACCACCAGTACTTCCTAGAGTCGTGCCCGTTAAAGCGCCACGATCTTAGGAAACGTACAGGCTACTACAGGAGCGCCCAAATTCATCCGACCTGAAACGTTTCTACTCTATTTTTTCCCGCGGCTGGTAGCTGGGCCAAGTACTGGTGGTTTAAACCACACCAGTAACTTGCCCACACATCGGGCGCGGGGGCCCCCTTCACCACAACTTTCGGAGGCCCGAATCGCCGCAACGGCCGCGGATGAAATTTATCAACGGCGGCCAGGGCCCGGAAGTTGCGACCGTTAACGAGCCGCATCTCTGACAAATAGCTGGGAAAGGTACTGGTGGTTTAAGTGTCTCGTTTGCGAAACACGTCGTGGCCTACAGGCTTGGCTCCACCGCGACCAGTGGCGCTCTAGCCGTTCAACGTGGACTCCGAGCCGCTAGACAAAGCTTTCCACGCTTCTTGCCTCTTGCTTCAATCACTGGCCAGATATTTCAATCAAAGTTAGCAAACACTTATCGGCCTACGGACTTGCATCCACCATTGAGAGAGAGAGAGAGAGAGAGAGAGAGAGAGAGAGAGAGAGAGAGAGAGAGAGAGAGAGAGAGAGAGAGAGAGAGAGAGAGAG